ATAAAAGTTTCTATGGGTTTATAGTAATACTTTTGGGTTTAACCTTCGTACATCCCTACTTATAATCCTGATCCCACAGTACTACAAAAAGACTATGTTTGTCTCTCATGAGACTCAGTTCCTTAGGGGAGCCTTCATCTCTTAAGCAGTTTCTTCATTTTCATTAAAAAAAGGAAAAGCAATAACCCTAGAAGTTCAATAAGGTTCAGATGTGTAAAAATGTCTCAGCAGGGTACCTGGCACACAGAGCAGGTACCTTAGTCAGTGCTGGCCCATTGAGTCCCATACATGAGACATCTCTCCTGCTGAACTCTTAGCAATAGGATTGGGGTGAGTGTCAGCTATAGGAAGGAACAGATCTGAAGACACAAGCCAGCTCTTTAGCACACCCCCTAGTCCCTCCCCCAAACCCCACACAAGTGTCACAGACGGATGTCATGTGCAGAATAATTCACATTTATTGGTTCAAATACAGTACCTAACATTTGCTAAACATGCATTTCACACTAATTGGTCACATTTCCACAGGTAGTCAATTCACAGAACAGGGTCCATCCCTTGCCAGCTGACAGGATGGGAGGTAGCAGAGGGTCTGGGTAGCCTGCAGAGCCCCACCAACTATCTTTGGGTCATGCCAAGCTGATGAAGCTCCGCTGGCAGGCTGCCCTTTGCTGGTCCTTTGGGGGCAAGAGCTCAAATACATCTCGTGTACTTGATTCCTACACAAGATTGTGGGTGGAGGGAGGCCTGGGGTAGAGCCCCTGAAGGTGGCACTTTGGGAAGTGGTGACCCCTATGCCATGGAGCACAGCAAGGAAATGCAGGCCTCTACAGGGGGTGGCTAGTCCCTGTCAGGCAGGTGGGGAGGACTCCCCAGACACAGCCCAGACATTACAATGCAGCCACAGGCCCCTATCGCATGCCTGGGATGGTAACACAGACAAAAACACCAACACCCCAGGGCAGGCAGGCTTTCTCTCCCCACAGAAACATGTAAACAGAGATGGAGCTTCGGTATTCTTTTCCCACAGGATTCCTCCAAAGGAATCGACCAGGATGTCATTCAAGAGGTAGTTTTGTTCCCCCACCCCCACCCCCATGAATGAGTCCACATCATTATCACTTATTATAAGACGTTTCAGAGAAAGAAAACAATGGTGCCCAACGGACAACGATGATCCCTTGGCTGGCAGGGCTGGTTCCAGTTTCTGGAGACTGACCTCCACCAGTACCACGACTTTTCTTCTTGGGCTTGGAGCTGACTCAGGTCCAATTCGAAGCTTCCTTGTGGGTCCACAGCTGATTCCTGAGCAATCTGTGGCCCCAAAGGGGCAGGCCAGATGGGAACTGGGTTGAGCACAGGGAGGCGGCTTCTGAAGAACTGGGAGAGGCGGGGACCCCATGACACTTGCCATATGAAAATCAGAAGTCTTCAAGTCTCATGGCAGCTCAGGCCTGGCCAGAGGAAGCCCCAGTTTGCTCCCCAAGAGTCAGGAGGCCAGAGGAGTGGACTCCTGCCTCTGAGGAAATAGTCCAAGTATGGCTCCCAAGCCCCAGGCACAAGTTGCCTGTGGTAGCCAAGAGAGGGGTTTCTGGGGACCCTGTAATTAAATACACATCCCTGAGCGATGGCCCTAGAAACCCTTGCCTCCAGGCTGACCAGTTTCCAGCACCTGGTGGAATGATTGCCATTTCTCATCCTGAGACACAGACAAGACATCATTTCACAGACACTGGACAGAGATGCTTCAAGGCGGGGGGGGGGGGGAATGTAGGGGGAGGGGGGATGCTCATGGATCAAAAGGGGGAGGAAGAACAGTGGGGTTTTTTTTGTTTCTTTTCTTTTTTCTTTCTTTTTTTTCTTTTTTTTACTTTTACAAAATCAATAAAGAACAATTCAAAGTTTAATAAAAGGGTTGATCTGAAAGACTGGATTCCATAAAATAATCACAAAAATTTAAAAAGAAACACGGAAAAAAAAAAAAGACATAGACCTGGAGCCCAAAGCTAAAGTCTTGGAACCACTGCTCAAATTCCTGCCCTGCTCAGGGTCCCTTTACTTTGGCCAATCTTGGACAATGGTTTAGATGGTGCCTATACTGGGTTTGTTGGACTGTATACATCTGTCCCATTGTCTAGGAAACCAAGCACCAACACACGTAAGAAATGGGAAGCAGAGCAAAGCTCAGCTCTGAGAGTGAATGCCCTGGTGGCACTGACCATGGCAAGGGGTGGCAAGTGAAAGGAGGTCGTCGCGGAGTGGGTGACTTCCAGTGATGCTTATCAAGTTCCCCAGATTCTCTCCAACCTTCCTCTGTACTCAGCCAAGGGCAGGGCAGGGCAGTGCCTACCAACTGCCTTCTCTTCTGGGAGGTTCACCACCTGACTTGTTGGCGGGGCACTGCTGAGCCTGGTGGAGTGCGTGCTTGGAGACAGCTTCTGGGGAGTTTTCCCAGACAAAAGGAAAGACCACCAAACCCTGTGAAGGACTTCGAAAGTCTAAAAGGAGCCAAAGAGCATGAGCCATAGATGAAGCTCCACAAGATTTCAAACTCGGTTTAGGGCAAGAAAGTAATCAAAGGGAAAAGTGTGTGTTTCAACACAGTGCAAAGTGGTGGGGCTCTTCTTTTCCACACAGTCATATTTTGTGGTGGAAAAATTCTCACTCAAAGTGAGTGCTATTGGTGATAGCGGATCAGACAGAAGATGGGAGGGAGAGGAGACTTTAGAAACAACATGCACAGCTTTTTTCTTCTTCCACTAGCAAAAAGACTACCTGTTAACCAAACATTATAGGAAGAAAGGCCAAAAACAAACACACTAAGCCTCCCCCTCCAACCTTTCTCTTGCGTCCTTCAAACCAAATTCACAAATACATCTAGTGGCTGACCTAATGTCTCCACAGTGCTAGCTACACTCCTACCTTCTCCTCATAATACCTGAGTTTGCAATGCAACACATTCACTTTACCCTGTTTTTTAAAAGCCCAAGTCATAAAAGGACTAGGTGCAGAAGACATTAAAGGCGGTCCACAGGTCAGGCTCTGATTTGGAATACATGGCCACTTGGCTCAGAGATTCTGCAGGGCTCTTGGCAATGAATGGGCTCTTTGTTCTGTGGAATCTGCTGCAAACATTTGTAAAAGTGGATCTGTACAATGGCAACTTGCAGAACCTTTCCCCCACTCAACAAATTAACAACTTGCTCTGTTTAATATTGCATTATTGGAGAGATATGTTCCTGCCTCATTGGAGAGAAATTTCCTTTTGATAACCAACACAACAGGGAAAATGGTGTTTATGAAAGCAATTTTTAAAAATGTGAATAGTTTGACAGATGGAGGGCTAAGCAGAGAAAGATGCTGCATCAGAAGCCATCTTGGGAGAGTCTCTGATATTTATCTCCTCCCAATTCCAAAGGAAGCAGCTCAGAGCTCTGACCTGTGGCCAAAGAATGTGATCTAGTTGGTTAAATAAAAATTCAGGGAAACAAGAAAAATATGTGAACTTAGAAATAAACAGACACATACACAAAGATCTTCCAACTGACATGTGAGGTATATGTTAGTTGGAGCTTTTCCTAAGGATTAAGTCTCTTCTTTCTTTCTCAGAGGAGTTGGGCAATTTATGCTGGGGAGTAATGCTCTGGGCTTTAGGTCCATCAAAGGACAATGTCCTTACTCTGCTGGTACCCGTAACATTTCACTAGGGAGGGAAACTTACAATCAGACACACACTACCCAGTCAGCAGACTCACTGGGCAAGTTTGCTAGGCTGAGTTGGGGAGAGAGCAAATAGCCTTTGACTACACAGGCAGGAAAAGCTACCCTTTACCTTGTACCCAGTTACGTGATCTGTCTACTGCATTGGCTACGGGAGGTACCTCACATATAGGTGGGGTCAGCTGCTTGGTACAGTAAAGAAGGGAAAATCATCTGCAAGGCTTCCAAGACACATCTGATGTGGCTGCTGGCCAAAGCCAAGAGGGAAGGCACACTTCCTGGGGCTGGGTGGGGCAGGTAGTGAAAGAACAAGGGGTCCTGGCTACATCTGCAGAGGTTGCAGCGAGGACCCCTTAGGAACATGAGGTAGTTTAAAGGTCCCCCTTCCTTGCAGGCGCTTTTGGCTCCAGCCCTCTAGGCATTGGTCGGCCAAGCCACTAGCGCTGTAGGAGCAGCAGGGCCACTCTGGGCCTTGGGATTTGTGCTTTGGGGTCCTGAGGAAGCCTGCTCTCATTCTAGAGATATTAGGAATAGAATTTAGGGGCAACATTTCTGGCTAGCAGATAGATAAATGGTCCTTCTTACTGTTTGTTTTGTTATTTTTAGGTCAGTCCATAGGAAAGGGTATGACAGGGTTGGGGCAGGAGTAAGAGATTTCTAGGAGGAGTGTGTAATTTAGTAGGCTGGTATTTTTTATCCACTATCTTTTGGAGAAAGCTGGGTGAAAGGAGAAGAAATCAGTAGTGGGCACCAGGAGTTAGAACAAGGCAGTATGCTCAGTTGGTTTTTGAAAGGGCCATGAGAAAAATCAAATTTAAAAGGGGGAGAGAGGGGAAGGAGTCTGAGGAAGGTGGTTCTGAGTGGAACAAGGTAAGGGAACTGGGTAGCTTTGAGACCCAGTAAGTCCCAAGCACTGGCTTACTGACAGAATGATCCTGGAGGAAAAACTGACAGTGGCAGAAAACGGCGAGCACTCAATGTCCTGAGGACTTACTGGGTGGGAGGGCAGCTAACTTAGATTTGGTCACTATCCCCCACTGTCTCCGCTTTCATATTTAAAGAAAAGAGAACACTAAATGCTTTCCTCTGTGCTGTGTCTCACCCACCTTGCTTGGTGAACCCGACACAGCTTTGCCCCACTGCCATGTGCGCCTTCTCCAAGGCAATGCTGTGGTTAGAAAAAGGCAGTTTGCTCTCTAACAGATAAATGTTTGAGGTCTGAGAAAATGTGGAAAAAGGAGGGATGATCACACCCCTCCATTTCCACTGAGGTAGTCGTTTTTGTCAACATTATGGAAATAGTCATCTCAGCCCCATCCCACCCTCTCCCTCATAATACAAAAGAACTATCTCTAAACAATGACAACACTGTAACATTAAACATCTTCACATTCTGTAAACTGCAAGAAAATGCATCGGCTGCATTCACACAAAAGCATGTGCATCATGTTGAAGGCCATACATTCAACTCTGTCGTGAAATAAATATATAGAAAAATGAGGTTAAAAACAAACAAACAAACAAACAAAACTCCTCTTGCTATGGAAGCAGCTGGATGTGATGCTCCACAGCCTCCATCTTGGTCTCTCTGGCTCTTTCCTCTGAAACCTATTCTGCCTCCCAAGGCACTGTGGTGGGCCTAAGGAAGGGCACAGGGAACAGGTTATTCTTTGCCCATGTTTGTCTTGCAGGAATGCAGCACCACTTTAAAGAGGAGGGGCAGCTGCTCCAGGGGTACATTCACCATCTTTCCTGGAAACAATGTGAGAAAAGGAAGGTTAGCGGGATTGCTGGTTGGAGGGTGAGTCTATCTGCTTTAGTGTTGGTCCGAAGGAAGTGCCAGAAACATCAAAGAAGTCAGATAAGCAGGGCTAAGGACTTGATGCTCAGACCTATTTAGGTGCCTCAGGGAGTTTAATGGTGCCAATCCAAATCACTGCTTCTTGTGAGGGAACACTCTGTACAAAGTGTTTAAATGTATCACATCATGTAACTGTCATACTATTTTTCTGTGTGACAGGTGCTGCTTATTTCCATTTTATCCATGAGACATCTGTAACTAGGAAGCATTCCATTATTCCTAAAGATTCCTAAGAAATAAAGCACCACAGGGGAACTAACACTCTCTCTCTCTCTCTCTCTCACACACACACACACACACACACACACACACACACACACACGTAAAGTCTCAACTAGCATTCTATAGAATACTGTTCTTCAGAATACTGTAATAGATTTATAAGAAAAGTACTAAGGAGAAAAGTTGGTGGTCCACAGGGGCAAATATATTTGAAAAACTCTGTTAAAAAGTTTATAGAGTTCTTAAAAATTGAAAGATTCCCTAAGATGATAATCTAAGGGCTGTGGCTCTTCCTGCCAGTACCTTAGAATCATTAGGGACATGGGTAGTTTTTATAAAAACAAACCACCACAACAAAAAACATTACATGCCTGGGATCTACCTCATGCCAATTAAACCAGAATATGTGAGAAAAAACCCAAGCAATAGCATTTTTTAAAAGCTTGCCAGGTATTTCATAATGCAGCCAGGGTTGAAAACCCCCTGGGATGAGAGTGGATTACAATGACCAAACTGCCTTTTAGCTCACAGAACACCTGACATCGTAGAACAGGACAGAGTTTTGAAAATGCTGGCATTGCAGTCAAAATACACCTAAAATATAAATTTTGGTTTATATAAACAAAATATAATTTTGTTTCAGCTTACATCTGGTAGACTACTCTGACCCAAGAATTTTTTTTTTTTTAATTTTCTAGTCAGATTGAAAACTTTTTCCTTCAAAAATTCTATGCTGAACTTCACAGGAACAATGCCAATCTAATGGTTGTTTTTCTAAGCTGCCCCGATCAGTACTGGATAACTATAAACAAGAATTTTTACTACATGAAGCAAAGCAACAATAAGGAAGCGAGGAATTTATATTGAAAGTGACCTATGTAAATGTCAAGGAGCACAGAATGGGATCAAGACCACCAAAATAACTAACCAAAAAAGTAAACAAACAATTTACAAATGTGGAATTATAAAATATTATCCTAAGATAATCACTTCAAGAGAATGATCCTTGAAAGTCCATAGACAGTTGTGTCAAACAGTTAATTTGTTAAATTAGAATATATAATTTACATACCAGAAAACTGACCCTTAAAAAAAAAAAAAGATAAAAGTGTACAATGTAGGAAATAAAGTTAATTTGAGATAATCTGAACCACTGTGCCCATCCATACCAACAACCACGCAGAGGCTATTCTGAGATTGAATGATAGAAGATCCAAAAATACCCTACACATTATAGGAGCTCAGGAAAGGTTAGATTCTCTTTACAAAGAAAGCACAAGCTCCCATGATCACGTAACTTTTCTGAGGGCAAGGCTAGTACCTCCTTCAAGCAGGTAATGAGACTACTGATAACAAATAGCATTTGCCTCACTCCTGTGACAAGTTATGGTCCCAAGAAAGGGTTGGAAGGGATTCAGAATGTTACCTGCAATGTAGCGAATCTCAGGCAAGCACATCATCAGGTCAGGAAAGCGATTGGGCTGATGTGTATATTTATATTCAGTGAAATCCTGGCAAATGTACCAATATCTCTTGTTCAGCTGTTCCAGCTGTGAGGCACTGGTCAAACCCCTGATATCTGTGAAAAAAACCACACCGAGGAGGGGAGCTTTCTAATGCACATGAAACACTGGCTTCTGGAATTCAAAGTTCTTACACAGTGACAACTGGGGATCTGTCCCCCCTCTTTCTCACAGGTAGAAAATAAACTCTGAAAAGGGAAGCGTATTAAAATTAAAGAGGGAGAAATAATATAAAGGGAAGTCATATGACTGAGCCCCAAGCACTAATGAATGCTGAATAAATACTTCCTTTCCAAATGCATCCTTCACGAGATCTTCAAATTGGCCTTCTGCTGGAGCCATGAAAAACTTTGTTGTTACCTACACATTCATGCTTATACACACACTACACTTCTGCTCCTACTGCTTTCCCTGTGCCAGCCTCCATTGTATACAGAGATGTGTATACAGTGAACCCTCGCCACTTCGCGCTTTGACTTCCGCGGCTTCACTCTATCGTGGTTTTTGCGTAACAGCACCCACTGCCTACACCCGC